ACGTGGACAATTACTTTCTTGTTGGCATATGCAAAAAAGGAAAACGAGAAAATTCTCAAATTATAAACTTTTAAAAAACTTTTTCAAAAACCGACCGCTATATCGTGATCAAGACATTGAGGAACCCTATTGTGCGGCACTTTCTGTCGATTTTCGTGAAAATAGTGGTGGCGCCAAGTTGGAGTAACCGAGTGACTTCAGGCGAAGTAGCGGGGAAAGCTTTACCTCTGGACTCGTAATAGTGGGGTAGTACCACAACTTCTCACGCTGTAGCAACCTTATAGTGAGCAATGAGCATTCAGAAATTCGCTCTACATAGAACAAAGAATCACCGTTTTCATCACTTGTCAAAGGTCGACTGTTTTCAGCTGTGGCAAGATCTTGGTCAGGCTACCTCGACGCGCTGGTAGACCGTGCTATCAGCAACTTCACATTGCAAACCATAGGTACACTTAGTTCGGTATGTTTTCGGAATTTCTCGAATGGCTACTTCATTATCGTTAAACTCGCTTATCTTAAGATCAACATCAGTTCAAGTAGTAAATTTGCGCGATAACGGTAATCAAACAACTTTTTTTGATTATAAGCAGCAGCTGCCATAATGAAAAAAGTCGTCCAAAATCCTCCTCGTGACTCGCTACAAGATTTCCGTCGCAAACATTATAGAAGTGCGGGGCTTTTTTCCCCGGTTCTATTAGGTTCTCGTGGAAGGAGATTAAGTCTTTTCCAGAGTCATCTAGTTTAGGCAATGAGGATATCATATAAAAGAAATGAAAGGATCCGGATCAGAAGCAGCAACTTGTTAGAAAAAAAATCAGCACATAGAAATTTACGCCGCTGAGTCAGAAGTCTACTCATTCCCGACTGCCATGATTTATTGAACTCGCAAAAACAACCAGAAATGTGGAAAGGGAGAGCTAATACGAAAATCATAAGAAACTGGAAACCCTTCAAGTTTTTTGGACACTCCCCAAAGCAAGTGGCACAATAAATCGGCGATGCGTACAGGGTCGATAAGCCTAGCACGAACAAATGCGCGGCTTTTTTTTAACTATTAGGTTGTTCGGAAAGAAATGCGCGTTGAAGCGCGTTGAATTTGTCCATTTATTTCTCTCCTACTATAGAAGATTTTTCAAAACAGTTTTGTCTATTAGAAAGAGATTTTTATTGTGCATCTTTTGATATATTTTTGTCTATGTCTACTTTATTTTCTTGTTTTCTATTGTAAGAAAAAATTTGGGAAGGAGTGGGTGCCGCACCATCCTGAGCGACCGCCAAGCAAGGCAACACGAGTGGCAATGGCCGGAATTCTTCTTCGTCTCTTCAAGAACAGCGGTTTCTTCAACTCTATTGTTACATCAGATGAGACATGGATCAGCTCTGCTTATGACAACGCAACACGAGAAAAGCAGTGCGCTTAGACGCTGATGACACTGCCAAAGCTCGACTCCCGAAACGGATATACAGCAGCGGCAGAAAGATGAACGCTCTGCTGTTTGGTGGAAAACAGCAGAGGTTTGGTTTGTACTTTGAAGCTTCTGCCAGATTGCGGCGTCAAACGTAGTATATGGCGGTACATATTACAAAGATGACGCTGTGATCAAGCACTCTCGTCAAGGTGTCGAAACGACGTCGACAAAACTCCTCCACGACAACGCTCGTCCACATGTCGCGAAAATCACTTTGGAAAAAAAATTGAGGAATTGGGCTGGGAAGTCCTGCCTCATCCGCCATACAGCCCAGACCTGGCGCCATCCGATTACTATCTGCTCCGGTCGATGCAGCACTCCCTGGCCCGTAGTGCAAGAAAGTTCACAAACCGCGAAGAAGTCCAACTCTGGGTGTCCAACTACTTTGAGTCGCAGCCGGCCGAGTTCTTCGAAAGAGGAATCCATTCTTTGCATAAACGTTGGCAACAAGTCATTGATAGTAATGGAGATTATCTTTGAATTGATCTTGTTTACTTTCGTTTTTATAATAAAAAAAAAATTTTTTAGACCCGCGCATTTCTTTCCGAACAACCTAAGAAGAGCGCCTTTATAGCGCCTAAACAGGTGCAACGTATGGACCTTAGCAAGCGTCAAGAGCAAACGCTTGCTTCAAAAAACATGTCTAATGTCGTGCGAACAAGTATCTTCCGCAGGTTTTTACCTTCGCGTCTTACTTCTTCGTATTTTCCCTCCCTTCTTGCATCCCTGCTACTATTTTTGAAAGTCTGCCTCGGTACCAAACCATCAACTTTTGAGCCTTTATTAAAACTCATGCTGGCATAACATACGCTTTTCTGCAGACTCTCCACTCTTTGTGAAACCTTATGAATTAACAGCAACCACGATCAGCGTACCTCTTTCAAACAGTTAGGTTATGCTTTTGTCTTTTTGTTGTTTTAGCGTTTAGGTGGTGGTCTATGTCTTTCAGTTAGCGATGTTTGTTATTGGAAAATTCCGGCTCCATATCAAAGATTTTATGCAAAAATACTGGCAAACACTTGCCGTAAAGCGAGACAGCTCAACCTTCTGGCCTCCGTCATATAATGCTTGTTCGAATGCCTATCTTCTACACCCTAGATGGAACACTTACGACATTTCTTGTTCTATCTTAAATCAAGGAAGAAAAGAGAAAAGAAAAGCCATTAAGTTCATTCTACCTTTTCCCTTTGAGTCAAAGTGAACTCTAGTACCTGAGTCGATTGTAATTAGAAGGAAGAAACCAGGAAATTAAGCCCATTTTCTTTTAATAGCACTCAGGAGTGCTTAAGTAATAGCTGCGTGGAGCGGCGCTCTGACGCGCAACCGAAGATCGCAGAAGCGCACGAGCACTGCTGATAACAGCAAATTGCTTCACAGCGATGACTATGTTTCTGTCATTGTGACCGATGTCGTCTGCACACGGATTATGCAATCTATATCGCATTGGGTTCCCGACGTTTATTAGGTTATTCGAGGATTGGTACAGGATTTGTAGCTTTTGATTTCTAATTTTGTTTGATTTTTTCGTTTTTAGTGCAAAAACTTTATAAAAATATTACCATCGTATATATTCGAAAGCTAGATTTTGCGGCATCTCGCTTTGAAATTCGCAGTCGAAAATCTGCATAACTTTCCGGAAATCTGAAACCTCCTTTCTTACCCTATTCACCAAACGATTATGATAATGTAGAATTAAGATGGCGTTGATACCACAGTGTATCTGCATAAGATCCTTGACCCCTCTTCATATCAATATCTGCTACTATTCAGGGAGATGGTTTTTTCGGCCGATATCCGGATGTAATGTCATTTATAATAATCTGGGCCGTTGCTGTGATAGTAGCCCTCGGTTCGAAGTCGTCTGCCACAGTCAATACTGTCTTCGTGATTCTTAACTTGTTGGTGAGTTTATTATTTCAAAAAGAATAGAGCGATCTCCAGCTCACGCCACTGCTTTCCTTCTGCACCACGCGAGAATCATGAGCACCTTGCATACAAGTCTTGCAGTGTGATTTACCTCGGAATAATATTACAGAGAGGCCCGTCCTCAACAAGTTCTAAGGGTTGCTCCCTTTCCCAGCAGTCTGATGAATTTCGCAAAGATTGTCTCATTTTTGCAGCTCCATTATGAGTCGCGAGGGTGCTACGGCTATCTCATGTTGTGGCTGTATATCTTACGGTATACCGAATACAACAGGGAATAAGGCACTATTCGCGATGACGCGCGTAGACGCGCTGTAAGGCGCTGTAATGTGCGTCCTACGTGAAAGCAGTAGCAGACGGAAATCGGGCGCCGCTCCTGGTGGCCAGTGCCGATCAATAACACACCGCGTGATGTAGCAACGTTCCAACAAACTCTTTCAATACATTAACGTTCGGGGTGAATCGATTCCATTCGCGTCTATAGCCCTGGAGCGCTGTTGCAGCTGTGGCGCGTACAGTGCGTTACAGCGCGTCGACGCGTATTTCGCGAAGTCTGAACGCTACCTAACGCTTCACTCACTATGGAGACGCGAGAGAGAGAGAGCAGTCTTTGCGATCACACACCGGACTGCCCGGCAGGGCACATCGTTGTTGGGGAAATCCCCAACAGGGGGGTCGTATTTGGCCGCCAGGAGAGGGGGTCGTATTTGGGCTGGGAAAAATTTATTTTGATAGTTGATTTTTCTCGCTTCACGGACGTTGTAAGGGGGGGGTCGTACACTGCCCACCGTAAGTGTTCAAAAATTTACGGCGGTTGTACTTGCTCATAGTTGGGAGGGAGTCGTATTTTTTCTGGCCTTCCTGGGAGTGGTGGTTGACTTTTCGTGATTTTCCTATTTCATGGGTGCTATACCCCCTCCCTCCGCTCGACGGCTCGATTTGATGAGGAGGGACAGAGGGCCGAAGGGGGTTAACAACCCCCCCCTCCCAAAAAAGGGGGGTCGTACGGACTCATTAAAATCTCCAACCAATTATGTGCCCTGCTGCCTGAGCACTGAAGGGGATCCTACGGTCTGTGGTCTGTCTTGAGGGCCGGCTTCCCCTGAACACCAGCGTGAGGTTTTTCTATTGTGTGCTTTAACAGGCGCGCCTCTCTACATCGTCTAGAAGGAGGACCGCGCCAACGAGCAACACACAGTGGTTGACTTGACCACGCCTGGATCAGTGCAGTCTGCAGTCCTATCCCCCAATCTTGCACAATTTTTTTGTAGTACCTGGTAATTTGTTCCTCCACCTGATATTGGGATCCAGAGGCACCCTCACTCTTGGCTGGAGCTCAAAATTCTGTGATATTGCTTCCGTTCAGGTGACCGCATTTGTAGTCATTTACGGATTAACATTTGCGAACTTCTCACTGTGGATAGGAACAGATGAAAATGGAAAATCAAGGTGAGTCTGTTGCTGCCATTATTATTATTCATTTTAATCTTCTTCTCATGTTTCTTCCAGATTTTTCCCATTCGGAATCGCTGGAACATTGTCTGGTGCCGCTACTTGCTTTTTCGCTTTTGTCGGCTTCGAAGCTCTTGCCACAGCTGGCGAAGAAGCAAAAAGTAATTTTCATGACTAATTGCTCACTATGATTTTATGTCACTGACAGATCTCAAAACTGCTTTTACGTAGACCGTCACCTGTAAATTATTAAGGCACCGTAGAGATGGCTTCACAAGTAATATTCTGAAGTATCTACAAAGGCATCATATACCTCACGCACTTCGAAAAAGTTTGGTGAAGAAGAAGTTCTGAACTCCAAATTTTTGAATTCTAAGGAGACAGACTGTACATTCACCTCCGAGAAAAGCCCTTCCCGTGTTCGAAGTTAATGGGAGCGCAGCTACAGTAGCGTGCCACTTTATCCGCCTTAAAGTCCACGGAGACGGGGCTAAAGCAGCGCAGCC